TTCCCCAGCCAGCATGAATTCTGGGAGTTGAAGTCCACTCATCTTAAAGTGGCCAAGTTTGGACAACACTGCTTTATAGTAACTTAACAAGAGGTAGGTCTCTGCCCTAAGGCGCTTTCAGTCATAGAATGAGGGCTATTCTAGCACCTTAGCAGTCCACATGCATTTAATCTCCAGGTCAAATGATCCTGGAAAACCTTAGGCTGTGTTCACCTAAAATGCTGAACCATAAACTGTAATTTATAAACCACAGTGGAAGACATAAACAGACCACATTAAAACATGATCTGGTTTGCTTTGGCTTAATAACTACGGTGGTTTGTTAATAAAGATATTCAGTTTAGTTGTGTTGTACAAACACAGTCCTTGTCTAAAAACTGAGGAAACTGTTACGTAACTATGTGGATCCGTGTTTTTCAAACTTGGGAACTTTAAGATGGGTGGACTACAACTCCCAGAATTCCCTACCTCAGCATGCTGGCTGGGGAATTCTGGGAATTGAAGTCCACCCATCTTAAAGTGCCCAAGTCTGGAAAAAAATGATGTAGGTAATAACAATGGGCATATTCCTCATTCTAAGCCAGAAATCATGTATTGTGAATTTAGCAGTTTTCCGTGCCAGGCGCATCCACAAAAAAGATATGCATGTACACAGAGTTAGATTATCCCAACTTCTCTCTCTGCAGGATGTAGAGAAAAACTTTGGTCCTATTAAATCTTGAGGCAGAACTCCAGAGAACTGGAGAGAACAGGTGGATGAGCAACAGGGACTTCCCTCTGCCCAGCAGCCTGTGGCAAACATTAGAAACTCATAAGAAGCTGCAGCAGTCGAGGAACGTTGCAGCTGAGAATTATTTGGCTTCAGGAAGTTTTCTACTTTGGTAGAACTAGGTAAACTGTGTGGCCAAAAATATTGCATTAAGATTTAATTTCAGCGTGCTAAGTCTAATGTTCTTTCTTCCCTGTGCAAGCTAGGGAATTGTGTGTGCCTTTATTCCTACTTTAGGCTGTGTGCGTTAGTTGTGCTTTAAAATCTTTTGGTCCTAAATTTTCTGCAGATTATCCAAAGGGACCCTAAGATTCTGAGAGAGAAATTCCTATTCCCATGCTGGCTGGGGAATTCTGGGAGTTGAAGTCCACCCATCTTCAAGTTGCCAAGGTTGAGAAACACTGGGCTAGACTGTCAAAGAGACTGCCTTAGTAACCAGGCAGATTTGTTAAGGGCTGGATGGAGGTGCAGGAGAGGCTCTTCTGAAGATGGCCTGTGGTCAGAGGCTCTTCTGACAGACCAGTGACCAGAGACCAGAAGAAGACCGGTCTTCTTCTCCAAATTGCTCCAGCCCACGAAGGGCATCAACCTGCATTTGGCCTCCCGTTCTCTGCCTTGAGAAAACCTGCAAAGGTGCCTCTGTTTTGCCAGGATGTTGACTGTTGATTAATTATAATATCCCTTTAATTTTTTTAAATTGTACATTTTGTCTTTTAATTTTTTGTTACTTGCTTTGAGTGCTTAGTTGAGTAGCAAGGTGGGATGCCATTCAGATCAATTAAATTCCTGTTAGATGAGGTTCAAGGACCCCAACGTTCAAATCCTGACTCATCCGTGAAGCACATTTGACAAATGCGGATGGGACACAGCAGACTTTCTTTAAAGAATTGTGTGTGTGACCAGGAATAGGAGTAACCTGGTGTGTGCATGCTGGTGAATCCAATTTTGTAATTATTTATTTATTTATTAAATTTGTATGCTGCCCGTCTCCCCCAACGGGTGACTCTGGACGCCTAACATGTACATGTAACATGTACAATAATATGTACATGAATGAGAAAAGCTTGGTGTTAGCCCCTTTCAGTGCAAGTTTGCATCATCCAAGGAGCAGTTGCTGTCTAGACCAGAGTTCCTCAACTTTGGCAAGTTTGAGGTGTGTGGACTTCAACTCCCAGAATTCCCTAGCCAGCTTGCCAAGGTTGAGAAACACTGGTCTAGGCCCTCTGTCTGGGCATTTTGTAAAAGAAAGTCACCTGTCCTCAGGTTTCTAGAATGCAGGCTGTCTGAATAATTTTGTAAAATGTTTGTAGCTTAATTTGGAAAAGGGCCCGTTGCATTGATCTCTTTTCAGGCTTCGGGATCTTCTAGAAGCGGAAGAGAAGGGCTTCATTGCTGAAATGGAATCACAGGAAGAAACCATAGAGAGTCGTCAGAATAGCATGAGAATGAAAGCAAAAGAGCTGAGGGAGAGGAGGGAAGAGGCTCGGCGGAAGCTGGTGGCGGAAAAACGGGAGCAGCAGTTCCGGTAAGTGAGCCAAATCTGGAAACGTCCCTGTAGGAGGAAAAGGGAGAAGAGGAAGCTAATTCATTGCAGGGATTTTCAGTACTAAGGTTGGCAGAGAGAGAGGAGAATACTTCTTTTATTGTAAAGTTATAGTAACGGAATCTTGCAAATCTGAATGTGCTTCCCCCTCCCTCTTTTTAACTTCACGAGAATGAAGGAGAGGCTTGTCTGAGACATTTTCTCAAGTTACTTTCTTGGCCCGGGCTTAGGCCCCTCTTATCTGACCATTGCCTTGGTAGCAGCTCTTCTTCCAGTCCCTCAAGGCCATTCCCTCTTTCCTCTACAGTCGAGTCACTTCCTTGGCATAAGTTAGAAAAGGACCCAGTGCTTTTTTCAAGACTGAGTGCCCTGGAAGAATTGAAACCACCTCTCCTTCAAGTCATGCTCAACTTTGGGTGTCCTCCTGGATATGTCCATGCGCCGTTCTTGGTAACCGTGTGCATGAGGTTTCCCACTGCAGCTGATAACTGATGATGGTAACTCACGTCTTGGTCACCACCTGGCTGGGTATTGTAACATGTGCTACATAGGGCTCCCTTGGTGGGAGATCCTGAAAGCTTTTATTTATTTATTTATTTGTTTGTTTGTTTGTTTGTTTGTTTGTTTGCCATAGACCCCCAAAATCAGAATCTGCAGAATTGTACAATAACTAAAAGAAAGTTAAGGGCATGTAAACAGCAGCATTTAGTACACAGCACAGGCCAATATGATAAGGGTAAATTGAACTCAATGGAGAGAAAGGAATAATGCAGTTAAGTGACAGTTTATACACAGATTGATCGAAGAATCAGGCACAAAGTGATCCATGACTATTTTTCTATGGGCTTGTTCTTCTGCGCGCGTGCACACAGACACACACACACACACACACACAGAGTTGCCTGCCTGCCTGCCTGCCTGCCTGCCTGCCTGCCTGCCTGCCTTCCTTCCTTCCTTCCTTCCTTCCTGGTTCTGTGGCTTGAAAAAAGTTTGCAAAGCCCTGGATCAGGCAACAGGCCTTCTTAGTGGTGACCCCCACTCTTTGGAATACTCTCAGTGGTGGAGATGGTCTCGCCCTGCTTTCTTTCTGAAAACAACTCAAACTATTGTCTCTGAATGTTCTTTTAGCCCTTAATTGTTCTTAGGTGACTTCTGTATTTTTAGTTTATTGATGAGGGGTTGTTGTATTAAATGATTTATCTTACTGTTACCTGGGAATAATAAACAAGCAAACAAACAAATAAATAACCCATTCTTTTGGGAGGTTTTTCAACTTCCCAGCCTAGCCTTCAGAATTCCTGGTGGTCTCCTATCCAAATATGAATTAGGTCCAGCTCTGCTCAGCTTCTTAGCCCAGACCTTGCTGCACTAGACGAGAGCCAGCGTGGCTCAGTGGTTAAGGTGTTAGACTAGGACTGGGGAATTATACCTTTATAATTATAATGCTTGTAACACTGATATCATAAATTGTAAATAATATTGATAGAACATTTTTTCTTTTTCTTCTTTATTTCTAATACCCTAAGGTATTAGAGTATTAGAATAATTGATACTCTAACAATATCAAGTATGTAATTATACTAAATAAATATCATTGTACTGAAATATCACAGTGCATCAAGATTTATAATAATACAAGAAAAAGGAAAAAAAAAAAGAAATATACCTTTGAGTCACTCTTGAATCCTGGTGACTACATGGACAAGTCCCTGCAATTTTCTTGGACATGCTTTGGAAGTCTTTGCCCTTGTCTTCTTCTTCCTGGGGCTGAGAGAGAGGGACTTGACTCCAGGTCACCAGCTGGTTTTGTGCCCAAGGCAGGACTAACATACTGTCTGAGTTTTTAGCCCACCGCCTTTAACCACTGCACCAAACTGGTTCTCCAAGGGCCCTTTAACCATCTCCAAAGTTTTAGAAATGTCTTCCCTTCTGGTGACATCATGAAAACACTGGCCAGCCTTCTGAAGCCCAGACAGGGCACAAGGACCAAGATCTCCAGTGGATCAAAGTTGCCCCAGAGGATTAGATTCAGTTGTGCAGAATTTCGTCTTCCCTGTTTCCTCCCCCTCTTAACTTTGGGAGAGGAGATGAAGAGTCAGATGAGCAATTGGCAATGGGCCCTCCAGAAGGCTGTGGACCAGAGCAGCTATGCTCCTGTTAAGCCATTCCACCCTCCCTTCCCACCCACCCCACCTCCTGTGCACAGCATCCCTCCTGATGGGTGAAAGGGCTCCTTTGCCCGCTGAGTTAATCTCTTCCAGAGACACCAGCCTGCATCCCAAGAGCCAAGTAACTTTGGAAAGTATTCCTTTCAGTTACTGTTTATTCTTTAGAGTGTCAGTAATTTATGCTGGCATTGTAGTTGTTTGGAATTCTCATTTGGAGAGAGACAAAGCCAACAGGTTGAAAATATAATCACAGATGTCCTTTGTCACTTCTATCCGTCACTGACACGAACCAGCCAGCAGAGATAGCCACAGTCTGGCTGGAAGGATAAAGGAAGGATAAGCCACTGCTGGAAGAATAAAATTGGAGGGGGAACACTGTGCAAGCCACCTTTGGCTCCAAGAGGGAAGGAAATGCAGAGAAACCACATAATGTTTTGCTAGCCACAAATGCCAGTAACAGAGGGGGCTAAAGAGCCTCCTCAGGTTTTAATTTTTTTCCTTTGACAGGGCACTTCAGGGCCACTCCAGCAGCTTTCCAGAGATGACAAGAGAGAGACAAAAACATATTGAATTTCCTCTCTCCATACTTTGAGTGAAGGAGAACTTGGATGTGCTCCTGGAGAACATCTGGAATGGTCCTCAAGCTCATTCTTGTAGGGCTCCTCCTTTGGGTCTTCTAGAACCTGGCATCTCCCAGATGTGGTGCCAGCTGGAGAAGATTGGTATAGGCTTAAATTTTAAATGAGGATTTCCCACTGAACAAACTGTTAGGTTGTCCTACCCTTTCTTCTCCTGGTCCTACATTGGCCAGAAAACTCCTGTTATTGGCAGTTTAAAGCACAATGAATAAATACACCTGGGCCTAATGTTTATCCACACTTACATATCCTACCGTAGCATGTTTGTTTTGTCTGTCCAATGTATATAAAGCCCTCTTGTTCTCATGTGCACTAAAGACTTAAAATTTAGCTTTGTTTTCTGTGTTTCAGAGAAACTTGTGAGGAGATCCGGTCGCTATTAAGCCAGCAGCACATGAAGGAGGTGTGTGAAGACCGGCTGGCCCAGGTGGCCCTGAACGAGGAGCTGAAGAAGCAGAAAGAGATGGAGGAGGCCATGTACGCAGCTCTCTGGGAAGAGGACAGGTTAGCCAAGGAGAAACGAGCTGCTGAGGAAGCCAAGAAAAGATCAGGTTGGGACGAGGACATGATTAACATGCTCAATGCCCAGAGAGCTATAGCGGAAGCTCAGAAGGAGGAGGCGAAGCGGCTGAAGGAAGAAGAGGCGAAGCTGATGGTAAGGTAGCCAGCTTCTCACTGGCTGGTTACATGAACCGGTTGCTTTGCAAACCCCAAGAACGTTTTGTCTTGCTTCTGATACCTCCCCAAAGACCTGCTGTCGAGCCCAGTATGGTTGGTTTTGATTGGCAGCAATTCTCCTGAGTTCCGTTAGAGAGTACGCTTGTACTCCAACGCTTGTACCTTGATGCTTGTCCTTCTGATGGAAATGCCATGCTTAGCTACTGATCCCCCATAGGATCGTTACCGAAGGCTGGTTTCCCACAGCAACCTTACTCTGCGTTCCCTGGCAGCGTGCAAAGATGATAGCTACTCCCATGGCTGTTCCTTAGTGCCAGCATTTTCCCAGGTGTCTTTGATGACCGTGTTCCCGTCTTGCCAATCAAGCATGGCCTGTGTTGCAAGGATCCTTTTGGGTTTTTAGCATCCTCTTCCCGTCGTTGCAGGGCTTTATGTCTCATCCTGTTACAGACGCTGCTCCCAGGTTCGGCTTATGGTCACTCACTCACACACTCACAGCCTGTTGAGGCACGCAGATCTTGTCAGC